CACAGATTCAGTAGTTCCGGTGACAGCAACTAGGTTCTCCTTAAATCATCTCAACCTTACGATCAAAACCCCGTGGTATCCATGGTACTCCGGACGCCAGGTATTTAATTTAACAAAAACACAGCATCATCCTTAAAAAACTTTCCCATCATTTTTCTTGTAGTGAAAGAAAGGTCTAGAAATTAAACACTTCTGTGTTTTTTTCCCCCCACATAGGTAGGAGGATGGACAGAAGTCTACGATGGCTTAACCTTTGCAACTGTACGAGGAGCCGGCCACGAGGTTCCACTGATTCAGGCCGAGAGAGGGTTAACTCTTTTCAAATCATTTTTAGCAGGAAAGAAATTGCCAAAACCTAGCTGACAGGTTATTCAAAAATTCAAATATATATTCGCCAAACTCCCACACAAAAAGATCATGAGGCAGATAGATTAGGATCATTCATTAAAATTAGCAAGTAATTTTACCAAATGTTCCATTTAGGCAGTATTTTGGATATAATCGGTTGTAAATTGTAATTCTTCAAAAGTTTTACAATGCAAAGCACAATACACTGTAAAAGGTATGTTTTTTTAATGATCAACATGTATATCAGTTTCTAGTTACGTTATTACTTGAAGAACGCATTTTTCATAGTTTCGAGTTGTTTGCGTTTTACTTGACTGGACATTCTTCTTCTGGTGTGCATCCTTGTAGGCATCGGTAATTAAGTGAAATTTTCTGCATTAAGATGACAGATTAAACATATTCTATATCGACCATTATTTATTTGGAAATTTTAATAAAAAGCTCCCGGTACTGTTTATTTTAACGAAAAATCACATTTTAACACTAAAAGTCAATCTTGGTACTATTTATTTTACCCTTTATTGTCTTTATCGCTAAAACTCAAAGTTTTCAAGCCTTTTTCATTAGTTTTTCTTTATTTATATCAGTTTTGGATCTCTAGGACAAAACCCAACAAATGGCATATGCCAAAGTTTTCACAATGGTTTCGAATTTTATCTGCCACTGATAACAAGCATGATTGAAAGATATTTTTCATATCATCTGATTGAGGAAAGGCCATGAAGTTAATTATTACTTATGATCCTTGTTCAGTTGCAGCCTCAGTGATCTCCCTTCGCACAGGTTGCTGATTCCCTTCACAGTAACCATAAAATTCTGCTTCTCAAAAAAGATTCTGTAAAATGTATCAGATCAGCACCACCTTGATGGGAAATTTGGAATCTGCAAACAAATGTCAAATGCAGTTAGTTACTTGAGTGATCACGATCTGGTAAAGAAAATCCGAGCTTGGGGATTGCATCAACATATGCGGCAATCCACACAGAACCATTCTCACATTGTCACCTGATTTGAATAACTTAAAGTAAGGCTTTGCATATGTATTCGCGCTGTGTTTTGAAGCGCGAAGAACTCCAAAACACAAAACAAACTCAGATTGATGCTTTTAAGTTTCTCTTAGCTCCTAATTAATAATCGGAAAACAGTGGCTGTTCTTCGCTGGTTTATTTCCAAGTGTTCAACCATCCATGTATGCTAGGGGTTGAGAAACTTAGGAGCATTGTACTCTTTCAACTCAAAAGTTGGCTAAGTTGAAAATTAAAAAAGAATTTGGACCAAAAAGCAAACTTGATCCTATCCAATTACTGAATTTGTACACCAGAAAAGCAAAAGACTAAAAGACTTAACCTTTGAAGGTGCATCTTCACCTTTATCTGTTTGACATGTTCAAAATTAATGGAGCTTTAGATGTAAAGTCAATGAACCAACAGTTAAAGGATTCAATGATCGTGGATGTACACACCGCCACCGATGGAGCGTCAAGGGGTGGAGACTGAGGAGGCTGATGGCTGACCAACTTGTTCAATTCCGAAAGCCAAAAAGTCATTAGTCACTGGTCATGTATTTGTAAAACTTTTGTTGGACGTTTTCGCCTTGATATCCCTCAATTGTGGTGGTTGATGGTGGAGTTTGACTATTCCTCAAATTTATCTCAGTTGCCATTAAAATACACAGTTGCAAATTAGTGCAACCAAATTACTCAAAAACCCTTAGATCATATTAGACTGGTGTATTATTATTTTTATATTAAGGTGTACTAATTTACCTGGCCTATGAGCCAAAGCTTTAATCAGTGAGAGAAAATGAAGCACATATAAGAGCAACTCCACCCTTGGAGGAGCCCTCCCCCCCCAGGCAATCCATTATTCAATCCATCATGTGAACAGTAATTGTTTTTTGCATCTCCACCGTTGCACTTGAATAGCTCTGGCAATAGGCAATAAAAATATTATTAATTTTTTTTTTACAAAATAATACTAAATAAATTTATTTGTAATTTTGGATAAGATATTTTAAATCATTCTCGTTGCACCACGTGTCATTAACCCAAAACGACTATTATTGGTCATAGATTTCGATACGATTTTTATCCAATGTCATCGTGCCACGCGTTGTTATCTTTTCATTGTGCCACGTGTCGTTATCTTTTCATAATCTTTTATGATAGATTTCGATCATATTTTTAACGAATGAAGGCATGCCACGTGACACTATCTACAACTTAATCATTTCAGAATCCTCCATATAATCCATCATCCATCATTTTAAATCTCACACCAATTTTCTCAATATCTCTATCATTATTCATAGTTTCTGCTTCATTATTCACCAAATCAAAATCTGTATCATTATTCATAGTTTCTACTTACAATGTCTTCTTCTTCAAGCATGATGTGGGAAATCGATCAAGAAGAGGAAGAATTGTTTAACCAATCTGAAGGAATGTTCAATCTCCATATAGTCCAAAATGAGAATGAAAAGGATGAGGCCTAATTGGATAACGGGTAGAACCCGACGCTTGTTTAGGGATGGGCGTTTCGGGCACTTCTTCTGCATCATCGTCATGCGAGCCATCATCAGGTGTAGAGTATAGCGGGGTGTTGTTCATGACAACTTCTGGACCGACAGGCACAACTCTGAATTTAGGACAATCTTTGACAATATTCCAACATTCCCACTGGTTGAATGATTTATTTTTGGTTTTGGTTTTGGCACCATACCAAGCTTGTGCTTGAATTAGCTACACAATGGGGGAGAAGAAATAATTATAATCAAACTAGCTAACAAATAAATAATACAAACAAATAATTATAATTAAAGTAGGTAACAAATAAATAATACAAACAAATAATTATAATGTAAATTTGGGTATAGTACAAACAAATAAATAATATATTGTTACCTGATCCGTGTAATTTTCCCTACTTCGAAGATTACTACTAGCTTGTGTCAAGGCGTCTCTCCAAATAGTAAACGATTGGCTAAGTAATTTCCAACGACTAGACATCGATTCTTTGGTTATACTCCCACCCATTTTCTCAAGATAATTGGTATGAATAAGACTTCACATTTATTGCAACTGCATCTCATTACCCGTACGCGAATTATGAGTAACTTCAACCCAGCTAGTACACAATGCAACATCTTTAAGAGACGTCCAATTCCTACCTGCATCAGTAGTCATTTTGTTGAAAAAAATTGGATTGAAATTTTGAGAGAAAGATAGGAATGTGATTGAAAGTAGTTGAGAACATATGAAATTGTGGTTATGATAATGAGAAGTATTTATAGAAAAGTAGAAACATTTTTTAAAAAAATTTTTAGATATTTTTTTTCGGATTTTTGACAATTTTAAATTTTTTTTATTCAAATAATTAATCTTTGCCGTTGGATTTAAAAAAATTTAAATTCCAACACTCCAGATTGTGCCACGTGTCATAACGGTAACTTTTCTTAATTTTAAAACTATTTTTTCTTTTTTTTTAATTTATAAAGCATATTAATATCAACCGTTGATCTCAGATCGAACGGTTGATATTAAATTAGTTTTTTTTTATTACCGTTTCAAATCAGACGGCTCATATTAAAGAGCCGTTGAGATCGAACGGACCGTGGGAAGCCACGTGGCTTCCCAACAGTCACTTGCATTTCCTGGCGCACGGGCCCTGTGCCCTGTAAACTTGTTGGCTTACGCGCCCCCACTCGCGAGTAAGGGGCACGCGCCTGACAAAAAAAATGAAAAAAACACTGACACTAGGCCTGGTGTTAGGGTCACGTCACACACACGTCGGGCTGCAGAGCTGGCAATTCTCCACGGGCCTGACCCTCGAGCTCCCATCTTCACTCGGGCTGCCCAACGCTGGAGGCCTATCCACCGGCCCTCGGGCCCTTTCCCTTCGCTTGTCCCCCGAGCAACCACCAAGGGTGGAGTTGCTCTAATGGCATGGTAGTGGTTACCACCTGCCTGTCTGTCCTCTGCGTTGCAGACTGCAATTAATTAATAATAGCAGTAGCAGAAAAATACTGGATTACCAAACCAAAATGGAAAAAGGTTCGAAGTGTTTTCGCAATGGGACGGAAAGTTTGAGTTTATTTCGTAAAAAATGGAATCAAACTCACACTGAAGATGATTGAGTTTGAGTTATTGTATAAATGTCTCTAAGGGTTTTATTTTTTATAAAATAATGAGCAATTGGGCATGTCTATCAAACTTACACTACTGCAATAATAGTATATGACTCAAATTTATCTTCACAATAAATTATCAATAATATAGTTCAAATTCGATAATCAAATTTAACTTTACACTTATAAATAAAAAAATACTTTTAAACTGTAACACTAACCGACAATTTTAATTTAATTTTTAATATTCACAGAAAATAGAACAAAACTCACCCGTCACCCCTAGTAAATCAAAAGCCAAATCAGGGACTTGTTCATCTTTTAACTCCCAAGTCTCTGTTGGGAAAAACAGGAAAAAGGATGAGAGAGAAGCAAAGAACTCTTGGAATCAAAGAATAACCAGAGGGGTGTTTTGGTAAATAGGGCAGCAATTGACACCTAACATCCACAACCTGAAATTAAGGGACAGCCACTACTCCAATACCTACAACTGCAAACAGCCCCATCAGAAAACAGCAGCTACAACATATGTCTCTCTCTCATTTATCCTTTTCTTTCTGCCTTTTTTTTTTAATTTTTCATCATCATCAAGCCCCAATCTTCAATGCCCACCTCCTTCTCTCTCTAAAGCGCCAATCTTTCTCTCTCTAAAGATCCAATCTTTTCTTCTTTCTCTCTCATCCATCACAGAGAAAAGCGCACCTCCAAAGAAAGAAGGAACCTTGAAGTTACCTTCCCCCATCAAAAACAAAGAAGAGTCCACACAACACCCAACTCTTCCCCTCCGTGTTTCTCTCTCTAGAAACTCTCTCTCTCTCCAATGGCCCAGCTGGACCAAAATTTATGTAGAAGAAATCCAAAAAAGAAAGAAGGGGAAAGAAAGAAAAGAAAGAGGAGATAGATGTCTTCAAGTGTCCTCCAACCAAACCCACCTCACCTCACACATATCTCTCTCTCTCTCATCAACTAACATGTTGCCAGAAATACCCTTCTGCAACCCCCCAAAAAATCCCCATCTTCATCACTGTCGTTCAAAACAACATTATTTTTCACCGAGTTATGTGGGCTCTTTTGGAGTTTTTGTTGTCTTGGTCAGAGTTTTCACAGAGAAAACAGGAAAGCAAGAAACTTCTCCTCCCTTCCCACCCCCTCTCTCTCCTTTTATTTTCTTCCTTGTCTTTCTTGTTTCTCTCTCTCTCTACCTCTCCCCTTCTTTATTATTTCCTCCCCAACTCTCTCTTCCTTTTCCTTACCCATCTCCTCCTGCCCCTCTTTCTATCTCTTCTCCCTGTAATTCTTGGTTTTTGGGTTCTGGGTTGCTTTACTTTTATCTCCCTGTGATCTGATGAAGAAGATGAAAGGGGTTGTTTCTGATGCTATGGAGGACCAGAGGACCAGGTTCAAGCACCAGAGTCTCATGCAGGACTATGAGGAGCTGCAGAAGGTATAAATCTTTTCTGGGTTTTTAAAAGATTTCAACTTTCTTTTGTGGGTTTCATTAGATCTGGTGTATGGTGTTCATGTCTCTCGGGTTTTTGTTTATGATTTCTGGGTTTTCTAGCTTTGGAATTTTTATGGTGGTTTTGTTTGTAGGTTGATTATTTAGAGAGATATATTGCTCAGCTATTTTTCCTGGATTTTTTTGAAATTTTTCTCAGTAAGTTTATGATCTCCTCATGTTTTAGAGACTGCCGTAGAAAAATTAGGAAAAGCAGCAGGAATTGGGAATTTGTAGGTATTTTTATGTTAATTTTTGTTTGGAAATTTGTAGCTTCAGGGATTGGAAAACTTGTAAAAATGTTTGTATGCTAATTTTTGTTTGTAGAAATTGTATATAGGTTATTTGATGAATCTCAATCTTTACTGATTTGTGATCTACAAAATGTTTGAATACCTTGTTGTAGAGGGTTCTACGATTATTTGGTACACTCTTTTTCTTAGGTTTATGAAAATTGCATCTTAGAGCTTGATTAAACTAATTGAAGAATCATATCTATTGCAGGATGCAGATGCTACGAAGAAAAAATTGCAGATAATGAAACAGAAAAAGTCTACGCTCGTAGCCGAAGTAAGGTATAGCATCTAGTCCATACCTTTGTACACTTATAAGATAAACTGTGTTTACAATGAAAGAGGAAAGAGTTGACTTGGTAAATGTTTATCTTTTGAATATGCAGGTTTTTGAGGAGAAGATATAAATACTTAATGGGGAACCCGTCAATGAACCCTCGACCAAAGCAAGATGTTGTGCAAACACACAACTTAGAATCCCAGCGCGTCACCTATTTGAAGGGAAAGAGTTCCAGTAAGAAGGAATCTGCTTCGCGGTACCCTCTTCCTGCATTAGACTTGAACAAAAAGGAAAAGGTTAAACATGGAATGGAAGACATCGTGCGGAAACCTCCTCCAAAATTTGGATTAAACCTTAATGCAAGGGCACTTGGCGGAAAGGAAGCTACTTTGCGAACCCCCACTCCAAACTTTGACTTAAATCAGAAGGAAAGGGTTCAGAGTGGGAAGGAATCGACAAAGCGAAAGAACACTCCAGTTTTTGACTTGAACCAGATTTCGGTAATCAAATAGTTAATGGTCAAAGTAATGTGCTTCGAGTCTCAGTGTAACTTCTGTTCTGTGAAGTTTGATGTTTCTTTTGTTTCATTTTGCTACAGAGAGAGGAGGAGGAGGAATTTCAAGCCAATTATGAGCCAATGAGGATAGAGGAGCCCAACAAAAGTTTACGCAGAGGGGGAAATGATGAGCAGCACAATGACATGAAGTTGCTGGCTTGCAGGACTATAGGGAGCGGGTCAAACCGATCGGGGAAGAGGAAGATTACTTGGCAAGATCAGGTGGCTTTACGGGTTTGATTGTATTTTTCTTAAGAGTATTACCATTGAAGATCATATATCTTGTCGGGGTTGGAAAGAGTAACACCTCAGTTACCTGTGTTTCTTGGATTTTCTTCTTTGTAAAGTTACCAGTCTTACATATCGAAGTGTATTCAGTTGAAATGAAATGGTTTAAATCATTCAGATTTCGTTTGTGTTCATGAATGTTGCAAAAATTTGCTTAGGATGCAGACAGAATTTGATTTTGGTTGCTTATTTGAAGTCATCGATGATCGATGTTTGGTGTGAGTGATGTAAAGATATTCCAAATTTTGTTCCGTTGCTTACGGCCGGGGTTCTAAACCGAAAGCGGCCGGCTAAGATAACTTTGTAAAGAAAAGGGGAAATCTTTGGGACCATTATGAGAGTTAGGTGTTTGGGGAAGGTGATGGTGAAATGTTAGTGCTTCTCCTAATGCTTCACCTTCATGCTTTCCCATGGTAGGAAGCAATGCTTTGGGCATGCGTGTTTTAACTTTTTAAGTTAGCTTTTTTAAGTGCCAAAGGATTTGTGGAGTGCGTTGTCAATGGATGCTTTACAAACCCCCTTTTCACCTACTTTACGAGGACTTAAGCTTCGGTACTCCACTGTAGCAACATCTCTTGACTAATAATGTAAAGCTCGACTAGTGACAAGGGGTTGTAGCTCACGTGGTTACGGGTGGTAGGATTAGAGAACGATTAACTGGCTTGATCCTCCCTTGAGTTGGGTGAAGGGGTGAAGTTGGATTTTGAGGCCGCAATTGCTTGTTTTATTTGAGCGATAATCTAATTTAAATCAGGAATGAGATTTAAATTTAGGTGAGAGAGAGATCACACTTTTCTGGCAGGTGAGAAAGAGATTATACCTTTCTGGCCAACGAGGTTACGCTCAGATCTGCATATCCGCAGATAAATACAACGGTACCTGATTTCTAACGTGCTGTGTAGATACAAGAAGTTTTCTGACTCATGATGCATGGACAGATCGAGATCGGCCTGGATTTCGATTTTCAGTCTTGTTTCGTTTGTTGGAATATATTTCTCCTCGTGAGTTATTCATGCCTAATAAAATGTTCCACTTATAGTAAGTTGGTCCAACTCTCATGGCTTCTTTTCCCTCCCTTAGGTCGTCCGTGGTGAATCGATTCCTAAAAAAGGAAAGTGATTTTCGAACACCCTTGTACGCTTCTAACGATTTATTTAATTCAAAGGCGAGAATAAAAGAAAGGCGCGTAAAAGGAGAAAATGGTGTACAGAAAATAATCTATGCCACTACAACCCGAAATTTGAAATAAAAAGAACAGAACAAACTCATTTCTAAATCTCTCCAGTCTCTTCTGCTACTTATTCATCATCGGGTATGCAGCTCATTTTTCTGTATCTGCAACAACTTCTGCACTGTCATTTGCTTCTTTTGCCGGAGCAACATTATGCATTCTTATTAGCTTCATCATGAGGCCATTGAACTTCTCGTGCGCTTCTTTGTCCGCATCAGCATCTTCTGCCTCCTTACTAGCCTCTTCTGATGCTATGGGGGTTGCTGTTGGAATCTTCTCATGAGTTTCTTTGGCCGCATCAGAATCTTCTTCCTCCTTACAGGCCTCAGTTGATGCCATGAAACTTGCAATCGGCGCATTATTTTGTGTAAGCTCCTGACTCCTGGCAACGTGCTTCTTCCCCTTTATATGAGACGACCACACCTTTGGAGTGAAGGCACCAATTTTACACCCTTCACACCAAAACTTAAACTTCTGTTTCTTTACATCTTCTTTTCTCTCAACTCCGTCCACTATTTTAACCTTGTATTTGTTCTTCAGAACCTCTCCACACTTGTCTTTCGACATTGGTGTCTCCCTTTTTGAAGTGCCCTGTTTGTGCATTTTCTGGTTGGAAACATCACTGGTTTCATTGTGGTCAAACGATTTCCTTACTTGTTTGGCCCTTAATTCTGTGCTTATGATACCATTGACCTCCTTGGGCTCAGAAAACTTTGCAGCTTTCTTTGACAATTTTGAATTGCTGGAGCTCGTGCCTGGTTTCTGAGCTCTCAGTCTTGCTTCCTTGGCTTGGTGCTTCTTACCATTAATGTGATGAATCAAGCCCTTCTCACTTGTTGCACTAACATGGCACAGGGCGCAACTCCATTCCTCTTTGGGTTTCCTTTTCAACCCAAATGGAGGCAGATCACTAGCACCCACCATTGGTGGTATTTTCCGCCTGACTCCAGAGAGATTTGGGTTAGGTTTCGCCTGCAACAAAGATACTTAAACAAATTACATTAACAACAGTCTTTGAATTCTAAACATGCAATTGATGGTAAAATCTCAACATCATTTCCAATGCGAACTGCGCTACCTGCTTTACAAATACGAAATTAACAGAAAACAACTTTTCGGTAATCTTAAGTAGACAAAACCAGTGATAAGAAATGTGTTGTCTAAGAAATCTGCAAGATACCAACCATCAATACGTTGACCATCATAACATTGATTCAAAACAAATATTCAAGATGTTGAAATAATTACAGAGGAATCTGTCTGCTCCAAGTACTTAGGTGAGAGGGTGGCATGTAGATACAATTTTGTATAAGGACAATACCTCACACAAGGCCACAAGCGACCACTGCATATGCATCAAGAGGGTAGTCTTCTCCAAGTGAACCAGCAAATGAAAAATCAATTTTCAACAATCACCAGTGCCATTAATCTTAGATTATTCCGTACCTCGATCAAACTGATGTCACTATAACATAATGAAATATTAAACCATCTTATTGACCGATCGAAGAAAAATAATCTAAGTAATGAATGACAATGATGCCCCATTGAGACGACTTTTAAAGTGCTGATCCACAAGCCAAGACAAATGGCGTATCTTGGCGGGCAATTTACCATCAATCTCATCTTTTACCTTGATGCTCATGGTCTAACCACGAATCTTGGGCCTCGTTTGGTGTCTATGATTGGATTTGATAACTCACTAGACTAAGTGTATGCTAATGAGAGAAAACGGATGTAATGTTTTGAAAGTTGACATCAATTTCTTACTTCATCATACATAGAATACTACGAGTTAACCAATCCAATCCTTGACGCCAAGTTATGCCTTCGTTACCAAGAAACCATACTAAACCAGAAAAAATCTCCAACTTTAGCACAAAACAGAGCATTCCCAACACAAACGCAGTAAACCATAAACAGAGCGTTATTAAGTTAGAAACCAATCAAATTTTAAAAAGTAGAAATGGCACTCACCAGTAAGATCAACTTGTCCTTATTGTTAGGAGGAGGAGCCGGAAGCGCCTTGAAGCCATTGGTCAGAGGTTCCGGTTGCCGCCGCCACGTGACCCTATCGAATGCGGCGGGCGCAAGAGAGGCAAACAATCCGAACCGGTCATCATCGAAGGGGTGGTGGACTCTCTGGTCGAATCGCACCGCCCCGAAACGGACCTGATCAAAACCGAGACCTTCGCCAGAGGGTCTTCGCATAGCGATTTCCCGCTCCAGCATGAGCTCTCTCCTCACCTCCGCTTCGAGAGCCCGCCTTCGCGCAATCTCCTCCGCAATAATCTCCTCCCTGATCCTCTCCTTCTCCAGCTGGCGCTCGATCATCTCGTCGCGGACGGACCTCGGGTTGTGGAGCGGGTCCAGGTTCAATCTCATATCCGGATTCCGGAATATAGCTGTCTGGCCTGTTCAGAAAGAAGATTATCTCAGTTTAATCGCAGAGTGAGGAAATTAACTGAATTTCTAAGAAAATAACTGAAATTTGAAGTAAATTCATTTTCTTTTGGTTTCTCGACAACCAAACAGAAAATTGAGAGCAAAGTAAGAAGGTAGAGCGAGACCTCGGAATGAGGGTTGGTCGGAGGAGAAGTAGCTGCCGGCGGGGAAAGGCGGCGGCGGCCTCTCGTCCACCGATCGGAATTTGAACTCCATTGAATCACTCAATTGAATGTTGCGCTTTGAACTTTGAATTGGTAAAGTATAGAAACGAGAAAGAAGAAGAATGTTGCGCTTTGAACTTTGAATTGGTAAAGTACAGAAACGAGAAAGAAGAAACGTTTCCGGTTGGAGGTTGCAGTTACAACAGCAAAATATATACTCTCTGCCTGGATACGCGGTGGAGAAATAGTGACGAAATGCTGGGTGGGTCGGCGGGCCCACGGAGGAGGGGAGGGGAGAAGCAGAAGCAGGTGGAGACGTGTCCGTGCCGTGGGCGGTGCCGCGGGAGGATCCTTTTCTCTTCTACCCTTTCTGTTACTTTACTGTAGGTAAAACCCTAAAGTTAAAAATCTCTTTTTTCGCAAGTAAATTTACTGTTTCGTTGTAAGCATTATTTACTGAACAATTACGGTGGTCGTACATAGAGATGCGGCATAGAAAGAAGAGAGAGATATGTAATTATGGATGTATTATATTCCATCCCATTATGACTTTATTTATATAGTAGTAGGGAAGATTAATTTCTCACCCCTTTAAAATTACAACTTTTAATAAGTAATCAACTCCAAATATGAATATAAGAGATATTCAAAGATATACTAGTATTTATACAATCACATTCCTAATCTATTAGGACTACAACATATTTTTATTTTTTGGAAGTCGGTTTAGGTATTTTTTGGAAGTCCAAAATGTTATATGGACTTGCATATTACATTAATTTTCTTTTAAAAGCAATCAGTTGGCTTAGTCACGGGATTCCACTTTTATAGGGTTACAAATACTCACAGAGGTATTTCAGTCTCCTTCTAACCACTATTACGTGGTTCACTTGCCAATAATAGAATATAAAACGTACCATCTGAAATACGAGCAAAATTTGTTTCAATCTACTGAGACATGCTGCAGTGGCTGCATGTTACATTATGTGGACTTACACTAACTTAAATTAATAATGTATGTTGTTGCACTATGCGTTAACTTGTACGTTACTTTTTGTGGTGTGCTATCCACACACCTTCTTTTACTTCCCACACACCTCTTGATAATTTATGTCCATTGATCTTTTTCAATTCATCCGATCCAACGGTCGAAAATTAAAAAAATATGTGAAAAGTGAAATGGGATGTGTGGATATCACACCCCTACTTTTTAAGTTACATTTCTTATGACATTTTTTTATAGATACTTTTCCATTGATAAAAAATGTCATTTTCTGTGACACTTCTACGATGCGAAAGTCATCAGGTCAATATTACCAAGTACCAGTTTTGTCAATAAAAAAAACATATTTTTTATTAGATATTTTAATAGGAGATGATATTCACACATTTTTTTTACTTTTTACATAATTTTTTACTTTCTGACCGTCGAATAAGATGAATTAAAAAGAACAAAGAACATAAAATAATAAGAGGTGTGTAAAAATTAAAAATGGGTGTATAGATAGCACACTCATATTTTAATTAGGTTAGAAATTTGAGCTATTATTAAATTTAGTTCAATTTATATTTTTTTAGCTTAAAAAATATTTCTGATTTTCTTAATAGTTTAGAAATATTTCAGTGGATCAAAAGTAGGGACTAAGCCATAAGGCATCCTCAAACAACAAAGTCATAAGTTAAAAAATTCAAGAATTTGCTATACAAAATATATATATATATATTAATCCATAAACGCATTTTCATGTAACACTTTACACTATCCCTCAACTCATTTTCTTGTTTTGAAAGCGTTGTTTGACAACTTCATTACTAATATCATCAAATATCTCTCTATAAAAATAACCATGTTATTAATTTTCCATTGATCTCCCATCCAATTTCTTAATCGATTATTAATAAATTTCATGGCTATAAATACTATTTCAATAGTAATAGTAGCAACTGGAAGAGTTAATGCTCATGTTATGTCTATCGCGTGGGTGCTACATGCAATATGTACATTTTCTCAAGAAAGGGCATCTGCTCCTTGGGGCCAAGGTGGCTTCGTCTTTGGTCAAAAACTATTTCATAACATCAGTTAACCGAAGACTTAACAACAAAAACTAATGCAAGTATAAAAGTGTACAAAAATACGTATTTTTGTGAGTTTGAAGGTAGTAAAATGGAAATTACTCCAAATATATTTACAATAGCTATTATGCTTTACACAAAATCTAAACTGCGATAAGAAAATTTGAATTCCACGTGTATAAAAGAAACCCACGCCCTCTTACTATTCTGACTACGCCCACGTCTGCTAAAAGAAAGCGTCAAGTGCCTCATTGGTAGGGTTGATGCTGTATTTCGGCCCAGTACATAAACAAGCCCAAAACTGTGCATTATTTATATAAGGCGGGGTTTGGTGCCAAAAAAGCCCAATAAAGTGGATCATCCGTCACGATTGAGATACAAGAGAAAGTCCCTATCAGATTGATAGTCAAAGACGACCCAGGAATCAGATTCAGATTGTGTTTGGCTCTTACAACCAACCATTGGATCGCCTTATCCTTGTTTGCTTCTCCATTAAGACCAAACTCTCTCTCTCTCCTCTCTCTCTCTCTCTAGAAAAAAAATCTGAGAAACAAAAATGCCGAGTGGCTGTGAGATCTGCTGTGAGATTCTGATCGCAATTCTGCTCCCTCCGCTGGGCGTTTGTCTCCGGCACGGCTGCTGCACCGTAAGTCCCCTTTCTTTCTCCTCCGTCGTCTTCGTTTTCTGGTGGCAGATTTGATGTTATTAATGGTGAAAGATTGAAATTTTGGATTTGCAATTATTTATGCAGGTGGAGTTTTGCATATGCTTGCTGCTGACGCTGCTGGGTTACCTTCCGGGAATTATCTACGCCCTCTACGCCATCGTCTTCATTAATCGCGACGAGTACTTCGATGAGTACCGCCGCCCCCTCTACGCCTCCTCCGATTAAACCAATTCCTCAGTTATTTTCCCGCCTCCTCCGATTATGTAGCCACCTTTCCCTTCTGGTTTTTTTTTTTTTTTTTTGAGTTCTGAGGGATCGTTGAACAAAAAAAAAAAAAAAGATCTTTTGTTTACTTGTTATGTTTATAATAAAATCTGAAATTGTATGCTTCATATGTTGGACTGATTGCTTGTTCTGGTTCCCCAATTTTATATTTGATCTAATTGAATATTTCACTTAGATTGCACTCTGTTGTTTGCTTGCTGCAGTGATGTAAATGGAAGTAACGGAGTGGCCTTGCAGTGATGTAGAATTGCCTTGGGAGAAGCTCATCATGTTGTAAATTGTGGTAGAAAGGGAATTTTATAGTATGCTCCATTGGCACTAAAATCTGTCAGATAAAATTATAGTGTACACAATATACAGAGTACCTAAGAGTTGTTTGTCTAGCGGTTAGGTTCTTGATTTTCTCTCTAAGTGGTATGGGGCTTGATCTCTCCCACAGTACACACCTAGCAAATACTAGAGTTTCTTACTCAGCAAATGTTGTGAGTCAAGCGGAGCCTAGTGATTAGTTTGGTAAAAAATTCGGATACACTTTTCAAAAAACATTAGTGTATTTATATATTTACAGGAGCATATCATTAAGCCTGTAGCAGGCTGTTTGGTTATGATTGATGAGACTTAAATGGCTATTTGATGAATGATGATGGGCACTTTTGACACAACCAGATGAATATAGAAAAACTTCAGTGCGTACATATCACACAAGCGAGTTGTATTTTTTCGTAACCAACGGAGCTTTCTTCTAGTTTTTTTTTGTAAAAGATACGATGATAGACTTCATTTTAAGGAGGCATGGGATGGAATTGCATTAGCTGTTCCTTTTGTCTTGTTGGTGGGAGGTTGGAGGTGGGAGGTGGGAGGTGGGAGATGAAAGGGAATATTGCATTAAAACGTATGGGTGAATCATCTAACAAGCCTTTCCTTTTTGTAGTAATTTTGATTATTTTCGGCTCGAACGATAACATTTTTAGTTATATCAGTTGTATATTTTTATGTATCTATATTACGTAAAGAGATTTTGTGCATTTATATTGTGTAAATATTATATACAATCAGTTATAAGAGATATTAACTTTTAAGTTAAAATTTGGCTACTTACATGATAAATCATGATGAATAATCATCATGTACTTGTCAATAACAAATTTAACGGTTCATGATGAGCCGTCCATAGAATAGGATAGGGAGATGAGTCATGAGCCACAGCAGCGACACGTGTCAAGTTTTGGAACAACCTTGCACGTAAATTGACCGATCTACCCACACTTCATAACTTTCCCATGAGGTGCTCCAACCGAAAAAAACCCAACTCTCTTGTTTTCGCGCGACCACCGAAAATGGAAACAATCAACAACGAAGAAACAGTGACTGAGTCCGGCTCGGACTGGGCCGAGTTGACCCAGGAGTGCCTGATCAACATCCTGGGACGGCTCACCCTGGAGCACCGATGGATTGGGGCGATGCTGGTCTGCAAGTCGTGGCTGCTGGTGTGCAAGGAGCCTTGCCTCAACTCCGCCTTCGACCTCGAGCCGCCGTTCTAGTCCGCACGGTGGTGGACCCCGGAGTTCGAGCGGCGGGTCGATTCCATGCTCCGATCTGTCGTCGATTGGAGCACCGGCTCGCAGAAACAGATCCGCACCACGCACTGCTCCAATCAGTCTCTCTCGCTCGTCGCTCAGAGGTATAATAAATCTTTCATTTCCATAACAGAACACGATTTGTTTATCTGTTTTGAATTAGGAGAATCGGGTTATGCATAATTTGGAATGAGGAAAAGTAGGTTATCATTGATTAGACGTTTTCGGCATAAAGTTTTGATCTTGATTGTTGTATGCTGAGCTCAAGGTTTAGATTTTGAGTTTTTGGTTCGTCAAAATTTGATCTTTGAGGTTTGGATTGTGATGGCACTACCTTAAGTTGGTTAATAATCTTTTCGGAATCTACGATTGGAAATTTTTTTTTTGGCCATATATTGCATTTTGAAGCTTCATTTTTCCTTTCCGTTTGAATGATGAGGTGAGACATTGTTAGTGATGGTAATGTAATGTTTTAGGTGCCCGAACCTCGAGTTTCTTTCGATCAATAGCTGCCCGAATGTGACTGATTCGTCCATGGCTGATATAGCGTTTCGCTGCCCCATGATCCGGGAACTTGACATCAGCTATTGCCACGAAGTATCTCATGAGTCTCTGGCGTTGATTGGGAGGAACTGCCCAAATCTGAAAATCTTGGAACGGAATATGATGAATTGGTTAGATCCATCCCAACACACTGGTGTTGTTCCGGACGAGTACTTAAACACTTGGCCTCAGGATGGAAATTCAGAAGCTGCTGCAATTGGCAAATCTATGCCAAATTTGGAGCACCTTGAACTTCGATTCTCAAAGGTATCGGCTTAAGGGTTTGCTTTGATATCTGTAATCTGTAGGATGTCCAAATGTCGAGTACTTGGATTTGTTTGGGTGTGTGAACTTGACTCGTCGGAATTGAAAGGCGACTGAGGAATCAGATTCAGATTCTGTTTACATCTTATAACCAACCATGTGAAATTGAAAGACGACTGAGGAATCAGATTCAGATTCTGTTTACATCTTATAACCAACCATTGGATCGCCTTATCTTTGTCTGCTTCACCATTAAGACCAAACTCTCTCTCTCTCTCTCCTCTCACTCTCTAGAAAAAGAAAAAAAATCTGAGAAACAAAAATGCCGAGTTGCTGTGAGATCTGTTGTGAGATTATGATCGCAATTCTGCTCCCTCCGCTAGGCGTTTGTATCCGGCACGGCTGCTGCACCGTAAGCCCCCTTTCTTTCTTCCTGCTCCGTCTTCTTCTTCTGGTGGTAAATTTGATATTATCAAGAGATTTTATCACAAATAGTTTTTGAAATTGGCCCACCCATCTGAAATTGAAAATCGATCAACGTAATTCCTGAAATTAAGTGTCGCAATCAACACAATTTTTTCAAAAAATCTGTTATGTGCTAATCTGACACATGATTTGATTACATAAATTTAATTAAATATTGATATGTGAATTTAAAATATTTAAATAATTAAAAAACTTAATTTATATAATTAAAAACTTAAAAAAAATTTAAAAATTACTGTTCATCATCTTCTTCCCTCCCATCCGAGTAATCACCCGAGCACGAGCACAGCCCTTGAGGTCGACCAAGCTCCAACTTTCGCCACTCCGTCCTATGCTCTTGCCTTTTCGGGTCGGGCATGGGTTCGACAGCCCAGATACCCTCTGATCATTGGCGGCATTGACATAGCTCATGACAGAGGTTGTGCTGCGCATTCCAACAGTAATTCCTCCATTAATCTGCTTTTTCTAATTTGTTTTATTATATTTTCGATTTAATTTTTGAATTGTGGGGATGTGTTGCTTGATTGTGTGGGTGGAGGCGATATTGGGGGCTTTGGGACTTCTGGATATCATGCAGGTGTTTCCCGATTCGGAGCGGTTTAAAGATTTTTCAGTGTGACTGGTATACGGTGGTATATTACGTGTTAGTATCCAAATAATGAGATATGTGTGCTAAAAAATTGATAACTTACAAAATAAAATTTCTCACGATTCCTATTAAAACACATGGTGTACCATTTGTATTCCTGTCACAACTAAAAATTTCTCGGAACGGAAGCGGAATGATGTAGCTTCCTTGGGTGGGAGAAGAAGATGACTCCTCATATTTTTTTTTTTTAATTTTAAAATTTTTAATTCCAAAAATTAAAATTGTTTTTTTTATTATTTTAAGTATTTCCAATCCACATGGCAATATTAATTAGATTTGTAGAACTTAATTATGCGTCATACAAGCACATAACATATTTTTTTGGGTAAATTACACAGTAGTCCCTCAGGTTTTGAGGTTTATTACAACCCCATACAACAACTTTAAAACATTTCACTTTCATACATCAAGTACTATTTTATATCAATATAATACATCCGTTAGATTTTCCATCCATTAATCCGTTAAATGCTGATGTGGCTGCCACATTTGTGCCACGTGGCTACCAAATGTCTGCCACGTGGCAATTTTTTTTTTTTTTAAACCTGAATTTTCTCAACCAAAAAAAAAAAAAAAAAAAAAAAATTCAAAAATCGAATCTGCAACCAGCGACCAGAAGAAGAAAGAAGAAGAACCCCCTGGCGACCCTCCTCCCGTCCCCCCCCCCCCCCCGGCGCGCCCAACGACCCCCCCCCGGCGCCCAGCGTCTTCTTCTTGTTGCAGATATGGGTTTCTATTTATTTATTTATTTATTTTTATTTTCTTCCTCCTTCTTCTTCTTCTTCTTCCTCTTGCAGTGGGTTTCTATTTTTTTTTCTTTTTCTTTCTTCCTCCCTCCTCTTCTTCTTCTTGCAGATGTCGGTTTCAATTTTTTATTTTTTTGAGAAAATTCAGGTTTCTTAAAAAAAATTTAAAAATTATTTTATTTGCCACGTGACAGACATTTGGCAGCCACGTGACATATATGTGGCAGCCACGTCAGCATTTAACAGATCAATGGATGGAAAATCTAACGGATGTATTATATTGAAATAAAATAGTACTTGAGGTATGAAAGTGAAATGTTTTAAAGTTGTTGTATGGAATTGAAATAGACCCCAAACCTGAGGTATGAAAATGTAATTTACCCAATTTTTTTATGGAATTGTGACAGAATGATCACATTGATTTGTGATATCCAATTTCAGGGATTACATTGATTGATTTTTAATATTATGAACCATCTTAATGAATTTGGTCAATTTCAAGAACTATTTATGATAAACATCCTATTATTAATGGTGAAAAATTGAAATTTGGATTTGTAATTATTTATGCAGGTAGAGTTTTGCATATGCTTGTTATTGACGATGATGGGCTACATTCCGGGAATCATCTACGCCCTCTACGCAATCATTTTCATCAATCCCGACGAGAGCTTCCATGATTACCGCCGGCGCCGCCTCTGATGATGTAGCCACATTTCCCTTCTGTGTTTTTTTTTTTTTTTTTGAGTTCTAAGGGATCGTTGACCAAAAACAAAATAACAAAAGGGGATCCTTAGATCTTTTGTTGCTTGTTATGTTTATAATAAATTCTGAATTTGTGTGATGCATATGTTAGATTGATTGCTTGTTTTGGTTGCCAAATTTTATACTTGGTCTAATTGAATATATCACTTAGATTACACTCAGTTGTTTGCTTGCTCCAGTGATGTAAATGGAAGTAATGGTGACACGCTCGACCCCGATATCCTCCAAATACCCGAGGTAGGCACGTGCTGGTTGACACCCGACAGTGACGAAGTCATACTAACATGCATGTAAAGTAACGAATACAAATAAAACTTATAAAATTTAATACAATGTTTATGCAATTAAGGAACGTGTTCAGAGTATACAACTAATTCGAAACACTAGAAAGGAAAATAATATAAAATTGAATGGACAAAGAAATGGGTCCTACATCGAGATGACTCCAAGATACCAATGTGGAAATGTCTTGACGCCGGAATCATATGCCTCGATTATAAGTCCTGAGAGGCCGCAAAACAAAACATGAGTGAACCAAGTTAATATATAAATAGTAATAAATCAGTTAATCTTTAATGTACTAACCCCCATGTTTAGAAAACTCGTATAATATAATAAGTAGTAGGTTTTTCGAAAACCCTAGCATGCCATAAAACCTTTCATAAACATATATCATAAATAGTGTGCTTAGTAGTGGTGTATATATAAGGCATATACATATATAGAATATTTCATTCGCCCGAAGGCACATAGAACACTTTTTTTTCATTCATCCGAAGGTTTTACATCACGCGTCCGTAGGCAGGTCATTCGCCCGTAGGCAGAACATATGCCCGTAGGCACTAACCAAACGCCCGGTCGTAGCCAATATAAATATCTTCCGGCCGAAGCCACCATCGTACGCCCGACCGAAGCCAATATAAATATAAATCGCCCGTAGGCTTCTACATCACCCACCCGAAGGCATATAAGTATCAATCGCCTGTAGGCAGGACCATTCGCCCGTAGGCAGTAACATTCGCTTGTAGGCAGGATCGTTGAGTAACCACTAAATAAGTACATAAAGACATTAACATACTATTTCTAACAGGGAAGTATTATTGGCACTCCAAAAATCTCATTCTACACTCCTCACAAGTGTATTTTTCTTTCCTAATATAGAAAGTTTGGGGTGTATAATGAGATTTTTGGAATGCTAATAACAATTCCCTTCTAATATATATATATATCCTAATTGGTATTTGGTACCTACAATGTCATATTGTAAAACCTATCATAGTATAGAGTTATCAATCATATATACTACGAAGAACATAAAATCGATAAAGCATGAATATCATAAAGCGTAAATTTAATTTACTCATAAACATTTCATAAAACGTAACCATTAAATCGTGCTTTTCATGTATGTATTTCTAATAGAAAAATATGCATTTTAGAAAGGGTCCACTCACAAATACTTCACCGTCGAAGAGGCGTGCAACTAGCGAAGATGGAAATGCCATAAACAATTGCACCTAAGCACATAAAGGTATCAATTAATAAAACTCTATCAAAATGATTAAATTTGGGAAAACGGACATCATAAACAGATTAAGGACTTCGAAATTAGTTTAGGAGGGGTCCTGACCGAAACTTGAAAAAGTCAACGTTGACGAGTCAACGGTCAGCATTGACCAAAAGTCAACGGTCAACAGGTCAGGTCAAAGGGTGGGTCAATGGGTCAACGAATTGGGCTGGATCTCTCTTGGGTTTAGGTCGGCTCTCTTTTGGGTTTGGGCTGGTTTTCTTTTGGGTTTGGGTTTGGGTCTGAAGCAAAAAGGGCTGGGCTCAATGGGCTTAGTAGCTCGGCCCAAGGGTATGGGCTTTTGGGTTAATAAACTTGGGCTGGGTTTAGTGTTGGGTTAGGATTAATGGGCCAAGGGTTTTGGGCCTGGTTAATGAGTTGGGCTTAATTTAGTGGATTGGATTGGGTTTTAGGTTATTGGGTTTCATGGACCAAATAAGTTGGGCCGGTTTTCGTTTGTTGTCTAATTCGACTCGAACCAGATCGTGGGTTGCCGAACAACACGAAGAAGAAAGATGGAGCTTCCAAGCTCTAGTCATCTCCAACACACCACTAAACCTAATGATATAAAACACCAAAAATAAGCCTAGGGAACAAGAATCGAATCGTACCTAACTCGTGGCCTGTTACAGCCGAAGTTGGTTGAAAAAAGACAGGCAAGTCTCGGGTTCCCTCGCCGGAAACTGGGGAATTCTTCTCGAGTCAATTTCATGCTAAACTTTCACAAAAAACGAGTAACTACTGAGCAATTAAACTCGCACATCACTTAAAGACATAGAAGCGTGATTATGAGGCTTACCTACTCTCGGCGAGGGGTGGTACTCGCCGGAAAAATCGATCTGGTGGTCTTGGTTCTTGCACTCGCAGAGGGAGGAGGGGAAAAAGAAGTACATGAGAGGCATTCAGAAGGGTGAAGGAGAATAAAAAGAGGGTTGGTGGTCTGCGTGCGTGTGTGTGTTGTTCAGGAAAGATGAGAGAACGAGGGTGAGAGCTGAGGGAGAGAGGTCCGAAAGTGAGAAAAGGATCCGAGAGATGTGGGTAGAAAAGAGTGCCACGTGGCAGGAAAAGGTAAGAGGTCGGGGGACCAAAAAGTAACAAAGGCCCCACCCAGCTCACCATTTAAGTCCCAAAAGTAAACAATCCAAAATATCTTTCGTGTGTGAAATATCGAAATGCCCTCATTCCAAAATCCATAAATAAATTCAGAACACGTTGTTACAAACAGAGTGGCCTTGCAGTGATGTAGAATTGCCTTGGGAGAAACTCATCATGTTGTAAATTGTGCTTGAAAAGGAATTTTTTAGTATGCTCCAAAATATCTTATACTTTAGAATTTTTGGCACTAAAATCTGTCAAATAAAATTATAGTGCATACAATATACAGGGTACCTAAGAGTTGTTTGTCTAGCGGTTGGGTTCTTGGTTTTCTCTCTAAGTGGTTTGGGGTTCTATCTCTCCGACGATACCCACCTAGCAAATGCTAGAGTTTCTTACTCAGCAAATGTTGTGAGTCAAGCAGGGGCCCAACGATTAGTTTGGTCAAAGACTCGGATACACTAGTTTCAAAAAACATAAGTGTATTTATATATATACATAAGCATACCATTAAGCCTGTAGCAGACCATTTGGTTATGGTTTATGAGACTTAAATGGCTATTTGATGAATGATGATGGGCACTTTTGATACAAACAGATGAGTATAGAAAAACTTCAGTGCGGATATATGGATTACTTGGGCATTTGCCTCCACATTCACACAAGCGAAGTATCTCATGAGTCGTTGATTGGGATGGGAGGAACTGCCAAAATCTGTAAATCTTGAAGTGGAATATGATGAATTGGTTAGATCTGTTCGTGGCTAGAATTCCATCGGGGATGTCTCTTAGCCGACGAGCACACAGCTTCCCGAGAGGTTGGCGCCGGTTGATGCTTTCTGTCGGGCTTCTGCTTCACTGGAGGGCTTGTCGGGCAAGGCTGAAAAAGAAGGACAGAGTTAACTTTGAAAGGTACCTTTGTGGGGCCTTAGGTGTAGGCCTTGAGGCTCACAATCAAGATTAACTTTTAAGTGCTCAGGCGTGCCATTGCCATCTTTAGCATGGCAAATGTAAAATGGATGTTGAGGTTTAGTTTCACATATACTCGAGAGGTCGTGTTAGTTATGACAGGTGCCTTTGTGGGGCCTTAGGTTTAGGCCTTGAGGCTTCCGATCAAGAACTAACCCAGTACTCGAATATATGATGTCTGTTTTATTGTTTGCAGAAGTGCTATAACCATTATACTTCTGATTATTCGAGCCCGCAGAGCAGAATGAACCTAAATAGGTGCCTTTGTAGGGCCTTAGATATAGGCCTTGAGGCTTCCCATCAGAATTCCTTCTATACTCAAACATTCTACTATAATCATAATATAATAGAAATAAAACTCATAAATAGATCAATTACTTGCGCCCCAAGTAACTTTGGACTTCTTGTTATCAAAGCTTGTCGTGGATGGGTTAAATCCACATAAGGTTCTTTTTTATGCCTTGAGACCAAGGACTTTTAAATGATCAAACTTACATGCCCGAGAGCTTAGAACTTGGATCTAGTTTGAACTGTGAAGACATATTCAAATCGGATTCAAGAGCTGAGAGAGTCTTTTGATAGTCATCTTACTAGAAATAACTTGAATACAACTAGAAGTATACAACATATTGCTAGGCTAATGAATGAAAAGACAAAAACAAAGAGGGTCGGGCAAGGTTTAACCTTATCGAGCAAGGCTGATCGTCTTGCAACTTCTTATCTTTGTGGTTTATCAAGGGGTTTGAGAGCTTTTAGAAAGGGGGGTAAGGAGATGAGTTTACAGAAAGAAATCGATACTACAACAAGCTTAGGACAAGGTAGCAGAGCTATTACAAAGGCTTTTGGTGAGGGTTTATCCCTAAAGGGATGAAGGCTTGGGCTGACTACAGCTTCGTTTGAAAGCAAATCTGGCTTTAAGCAGAGTTTGTGCTTGTATTTGTTTGTTTGATTGAGTGTCCTTATCTCTGATTTCTCTTTCTTCTTTTATAGACACTTCGGTTTGGCCTCCTGTAGCAATAATCTTGCCCGAATGCAGCTTGAAGGGTAATGACTCATCAGCTATTTACTTGTATTGCCACTGTAAAGTACTTTTGGGCTGATTAGCTGGCTGGTCTATACCACTTGGTCCCTAGGCAGGTGAGCAAGTGGTGCAAATGATCTGCACCTAGTCGGGAAAAGCCTTTTCTGCCTTCTAGGCTTGGGCTGGACTTCGGGCTTCTCTCCTCCTTTTGGGCCAACTCCCTTTTGAGCCCAAAATTTAAGTTTTAATCCAAACAAGATCCATCCGAACGCGCTGGAGTTGTTCCGGACGAGTACTTAAACACTTGGCCTCAGGATAGAAATTCAGAAGCTGCTGCAATTGGCAAATCTATGCCAAATTTGGAGCACCTTGAATTGGAGCACCTTGAACTTCGTTTCTCAAAGGTTTCGTCTAAAGGTTTTGCTTTGGTATCTATAGGATGTCCAAATCTCGAGTACTTAGATTTGTTTGGGTGTGTGAACTTGACTGGTCAGGATATTGAGAATGCGACGTCCAATTTGAAGAATTTGAAGGAGATTAAAAAGCCAAACTTCTACATCCCATGGTCGGTTTTCCATACAGAGTGGTATGGCCATTGAAGGTTGTATGACGAGTGATTTCAGACAGAAATAGCAGATCGGAAATAAAATATGGATGATCGTGTCATGTTATTCTGATGAATTGTGGGAGAAGTATTTTGTATATGCTGGTGTGTGAAGCTCTTTACAAAGGTTCTGTATCTATTCCACTTCTACTTATCGAAAACCTTGTCCGATACTGCCGATAAGTCGGATTGTATAAATTATCAACCATGTATTAATGCTTTTCTCTTCGTATTTAGTATCTTTTTTTTCGTTTTACATATACGAATCATGTTTCTGCTTTCGTTTAGACGCCACATCTCGTCGGCTGTAGTTCTTTGTGTGGTATGACAGTTACCGGACGGCATACGCTTTGGCTAAGACCAGGGGAAGAACGGAAGAAAATTATGAAGCAATTCAATAAGTAGATATTCTAATTTACAATTACATAAGAAACAGGTTAGAGAAATGGGTTTAACACGGGTTTAACAGCGAAAGTTTCATCGCAAAACTTCCACATCGATCGCATCCTAAATCACGTTTGCAAAATTACCTCAAGCGATTAGTACAGAGCAAAGATGACCGATCCAACAGCAACGTGCCTGAGCACTGCGAAGAGGAAGAAAGTGGGGGGTTTAGCTAGTAAAGGGCTTGCTGCACCCTTGCTGGGATGGGTGTGCCTAAGGTCGGAGGCACCACCGTAGGATGGCTTTGCTTTCTGGGAAATCCTTAAATGCTGAACTTCATGCATTATTTGATGGTCTTTTCTGCTTGATTTGTTCATCATATCATATACATCTGCAGAGCTTATTAACATGGATAAAATTAGCGAAAAAGAACGTAGGGAGATCGGATATATTTCTCGATCAGTCGAGAGAATTTGTGAGCTTACCCTTAAGTTTGGGGTGACCATGCTGCTTCTTCAGAGGTGTATAACCTCCGGTTTTAGGGTTGGAAGTGCTTTCGCATGCAGAACGAACAACCAGACAGAGAATAAAAAACGACCATATTAGTAATTCTGTTCTCATCTTCCCTCAAATATTAACTGTAACTAATTTTTCAAAGGTGGTTGATGAGGAAGAGGGTCACACTTATATAGACTTTTGTTGCTATCTGTTTGTGTAGTTAGCACTAATTAAAAATAAATATAAAGTTAATTAGGGTTTTCATATGGCTGGTGGACAAAGTACTGATTCTTGCTAATCTGCTGCAGGCACATGCATATGTGTATGCGTGTGGTTTTGCATTCTTGGTTCGTAATCGTATAGAGAATTTATTCACAATCCATGCTATAAGCCATACAAGAGGGCAGTACTTAGTCATCAATTATACGTAAACACAAATTGGGCGGGGGGGGGGTTTGCGATTCGACTGTGGCTGTGGTCGATCGTGTTGTGTTCTGACATAATTAGCTCTCAGTATAGTCGTATGAATATCTCTTTAATGTCGGAAGATGTTTATGTTCGAATCTCTCTCTCAGCGATTTATTGTGAGAGAGGTTTGATGAAAAAGAATAAATTAGCTAGACACTTTTTTTTAAAGATCGACCAAATCACTTTGAATGGATAGAAAAGAATATGATGCCTCTATTATCTTTTTCTTGGAGAGCCCTCAAATACAAAGGAATTAATGGCTTTGCTTTGCTTATTCATCAGGCAATATTTTTGTTAGTCACTCTCAAGTAATGGTGGCGTTCACCACCTTATTTATCATCGTTTTAATTTTCGATATTTATCTAGTGAATAGATATAAATTTAAAAATTTAAACTCATTCAATGATATTAAGTAGGGTGGTGAGCATTATCACCACTTGGAGAGATTTTTCAATGTGCTTGGCACACGGAGCAGAACTCCACATGTCATAATATTATAATTGGAGGAAAGTTTTTTTTATAAGTGTTTCTCAAGGAGTGGTACTACGTCCACCCCATTGTCTTATTTTCTCACTCCATTTTATTTTTTCACCCACCAAAAGTGTTAAAAGAAGAAAACACTCTTTTCTCATCCCCCATCATTCCTAAAATACCCTAATGTGATTTCAGCCCTCGATATCCCTACTCTGTTGGAGTGCCGCACCAACTCCCAACACCCAACCCAGGTCTCTCAACCATTGGAACACCACCATGGTAGCAAAACTGCCTCACCACCCATCTTCTTGTTCCCTGCATAGTTTAGATATTTTATTTTTCTTATGAATTTCAAGTATTGCAGATTGCAATGGAATTCAATGGGTGGGTTATGTATTTAAAGTTTTAGAAAGAAGGGATATGAGAGAGAAGGGAGGTGAGGTTTGGATTGGGATTAGAACCAAAGATGGGGCTGGGAGGACAAAAAGTGTAAGGCCATGGATGTTATGAAGCAATGATGGGTGATATATGATCGGTTAGTTCGTATTTGATTAGATCCCTGGAATTAGGATTTTGGAGAAATAAAAAATGAAAGTAGAAATACTTGTTTACAAGAGATGAGATTTCGTCACAGAAGGGCACAATAATTAAATTGAGAGAGAGAAGAATCTTTTTCTTTTACAAAGATGGTGAACGGGCATAAGGAATTGGGCAATCCGGCAATGTGCAATGGACATAAGGAAATTGGCAATATGCAGTACGTTTTTGTTTTGGTCCTTACGTGTCATTTTACAAGAGGGTAAAATTGACATTAAAATTTAGGGGTGTGTGTGATATCCACACACCTTTTTTTACTTCTCACACACCCTTCTAATTTTCGACCGTCGGATCGCATGAATTGAAGAAGATCAACGAACATAAATTAACAATGGATGTGTGAGAAGTAAAAAGGGGTGTGTGGATAGCACACCCCTAAAATTTATACTAAAATGTGGGTGGGGAAATAAGACAACTAAGTGGGTTTATCAACACTCTTCTCAAATTATTATGACATGTGGTGTTTCACTCCTGTATTTCGGTTACACTGAAGAATTTTAGTGAGGGTGGTGAGCGAAAAATGAAAAAAGGCTCCCTATTTGTTATCATTTTTTCTACCAACCACTTATTAATCTCAATAAATTAAGGGAATTGCAATTGACACTTCAAAAATCTCATTTTGCACTCCAAACTTTCTATAACTAGAAAAAAATAACACTGGTGAAGAGTGTAGAATTAGATTTTTGAAATGCTAATAACAGTCCCCCAAATTAATATACATGTCTTTTGCTTTTCTCATCCAAAATTTGGCATGTCTTTTTCAAAAATTTTCATCCTTTATTTCCGATCCAATATATCCGGAAATCAAACCCTCAACACAAATATATTAATTGTAAAAGTGTTCCAGTATGATACAATAATTTTTTTTCGACGTGTATACGTGGTACATGACCATCAAAATCAGGAACACGAAGTTTCTATATTCTTTTCCAGGAAACAACATGCAAATTTATGTGGGGTTGATGATATCAATAGCATATACAAACCTATTGATACATCACAATTGAAAGAATGAACACAGAATTAAGATTAACACAGCCGGTAGGATGGCGGCGCAGACATTCTAATTTACAAATAAGAAGCAGGTTTCGGAAACGGATTTAAACGCCGGGTTTAACAGCGAAAGTTTCATGCAAAACTTCCACATCGATCGCGTCCTAAATCACGTTTGCAAAATTACCTCAAGCGATTAATACAGAGCAAAGATGATCAATCCAACAGCAACATGCCTGAGCACTGCGGACAGGAAGAAAGTGGGGGGTTTAGCTAGTATAGAGCTTGCTGCACCCTTGGTGGGACGGGGGCGCCTAAGGTAGGAGGCGCTACCGTAGACTGGTTTTGCTCTCAGGGAAATCCTTAAATGCTGAACTTCATGCATTCTTTGATGGCTTTTTCTGCTTGATTTGTTCATCATATCATATACATCTGCAAGCGTATAACATTGATACAATTAGCGAAAAAGAACGTTGGGAGGTCGGATATATTTCTCGATCTGTCGAGAGAATTTGTGGGCTTACCATTATGCTTAAGGTGGTCATGCTGCTTCTTCAGAGGTGTATAATCTCCAGTTTTAGGGTTGGAAGTGCTTTCACATGCAGAATGAACAACCAGACAGAGAATAAAAAAGGACCATGTTAGTAATTCTGTTCTCATCTTCTCTTAAATATTAACTGTAACTAATTTTTCAAAGGTTGTTGATGAGGAAGAGGGACACACTTAAATAGACTTCTGTTGCTTTCTGTTTAAGTGTAATTAGCACTAATTATTAGTGTAATTAGCACTAATTATTAGTCATAAAGATAAAGAGAAAAGCATGGGCGGAGTTACTTTTTTTTCCTAATACTCTATAGTAGCATGATGCTAATGCTGCATATCAGTTTAATATTCTTAAAATTTAAGTGTGTTCTCACTTTAAACTCTTTTTCATTTTAGGCCAGAGCTCATTCTTCTCTCCATCCCTCTTATTGCGGTACAGTCTTTACTTTCTCTCCTTATTCTATAAACTTTTCTTTAGCTTTAACTTGTATTTTAAATAATTTCTTGCTTACTATTTATCTCATATTTGGGTTTTTGGATTTGTACAATGTTTTTAGTTATCTCTATTGAATTTTGGGTCTTTCAATTCTGCAAATTACTCCAATCTCACATGTTTTGAATTCAAATTACCTATATGTAAAAGACCTCCCTTCACAAACATGAAATCCTAAAGCCGTCACCTGTGAAATGTAGAAGAAAAAAAAAAGTTGATTAGGGTTTTCTTGGCCAGTGGATAAAGTAAAGATTCTTGTTAATCGGAATAAGTGCAGGCACATGTATATGTGCATGCGTGTGGTTTTGCTTTCTTGGTTCGGAATCGTATCGAGATTTTATTCACAGTGCATGCTTTAAGCCATACAAGGGCAGTACTTAGTCAATTATATATGTAAACACAAATTGGGCTGGGGAATTTGCGATTCGATGGTGGCCGCGATCTATTAAGTTGTGTTTCTGACGTAACTAGCTCTTAGTATAGTTATAGAATCTCTTTTTAATGTCAAAACATGTTTAAATTCGAATCTCACTGTTTACGAATCATAGAAGATTGTGCTCCGAAAGTTAGAGTGAGGAGAGAGGTTTGATGAAAAAGATAAGGAAAGAGATCATCTCTGGATCTCTCCCTCCAATGTCCAGGGATCAAGTGATTCGGGCCTTTAAAGTTTTGATCTAACGGTTAAAAATTATTATAGATTTTAAAAGTTTTTACTTACTTCTCTGTTTTTAGCCTTTGAATCAAATTTTGAAAGTCCGGATCACTTGATCTTTGAGTTTAGAGGAAGATCCAAAGAGAATCACTTTCCAAAGAACACTTAGCTAGAGACCTTTCTTAAAGGTCGACCAAATCACTTTGAATGGATAGAAGAGAATGTGATGCCTCTATTATCCTTTTCTTGGAGAGCCCTCAAAGACAAAGGAATTAATGGCTTGCTTCTATTTCTATGTGATGGGTGCTTTGTTTATTCATCAAGGAATATTTTTGCTCACTAGCCTCAAGCGATGATGATGCTCACTATCTTATTTATCACCGTTATATGAGTTTAAATTTTAAAATTTGAGTAGTGAATAGATACAAATCTCAAAATTTAAACTCATCTAATGATAATAAGTAGAGTGGTCAGTACTACCACCACTCGAGGGTGATGAACAAAAATTCACCCTATTCATCATGTTTCTAGCTACCACTTAGTAATAAAAGTTAGGGTGATTCGATGAAAAGTATAAAGCAATTAACAAAAAGACTTACGTAATTTAATATGGTGGATTACTAATATCGGGGAAAATAACTAGGTTTGAAAATTCAGGTGTGAGCAAATGAATGATGAGCAAAAATGCACCATATTCATCGTGCATCTAGCTACCACTTAGTAATGAAAATCAAGTTGGTTCCATGAAAAGCATAAAGCAATGAACAAAAGGAATAAGTTAATTTAATAGTGGATTAATAGCTAGTATCTTAAGGGAAAAAAATAGGTTCGGAAATTTAATTAGCTGGTGAGTATTACCACTACTTGAGGGTGATAAGCAAAAATACACCATATTCATCATGTTTCTAGCTATCACTTAGTGATGAAAGTCAAGGTGATTCAATGAAAGAGTAAAGCAATTAACAAAAAGGGTTACTTAATTTAATATGGTGGATTAATAGTACCTTAAAGGAGGAAAATAACTAGGTTTGGAAATTCATCTCTTCTTCCATGTCTGCAAATCCAGTCTGAATCTCAATAAATGTACATGCATTTTGCTTTTCTCATCCAACATTTGGAAATGCCTTTTGAAATTTTAGAAATTTTCATCCATTAATTACGATCCAATACATCCGAGAATCAAACCCTCAACATAAATATATCAATGGTAGAAGTGCTACAATACGACACAATTTTTTTTTACATACGTGCGTCGTACATGATCATCAAAATCAGGAACATGAAGTTTCTATATTCTTTTCTAGGAAACAACATACAAATTTATGTGGGGGTGATGATATCAATAGCATATACATACATCATACATCACAATGGAAAGAAAATGAACAAAGAACGAAGGTTAACACAGCTGGTAGGATGGCGACGCAGACATGATGAGAAATTGAGATTGCAGCAGCAGCAGATGTCATATTTGCGTGAGACGAATTAGAAATTTTATTATAATATTCCCGGCAACGTTTCTTCCTGAGGGATGTAGCTCCACCCCCACCACCAATTAACGCACGGCCATGCAACGAAACCGCCTCGTTTGTTTGCCTATGATGCTTCTTGCATACAGCTTCCATATAACGGTTGGGATCGCGATTGCGATCACGATCCTGTTCAGCCAAAGCTCTCTGAGTATGATCGTCACGCGCGGCAACGAAGAGGATTACAAACAATAAAAATATACGTCGAAACGACCTCATCATATATTTCTCTCTGAAAACCCTAATTCCTTCCGGAGAAAATTAGGGTTTGCACACCTCCTGGGGATAATTTAATTATTAGAGATGATATGGTTTGAGGAGTAACGGTTACGTGCATGGTTTTGTTTCTCCCTTCCCTTCGTTGCCTACGATAATGTTCATGCAAATGGAGGTGGTAGGAAAATAGGAATGTAGGGAGACTGTAACGAATTTACATTAGCCAAACAAAATTGAAATTAGGCTTCTAAAAAGTATATAAAAAAAATTGTGCTTAAGTAATAACATTTTAGAGGGAGTACACGTTGTACGCAATAAGCTTGATTTGTTGTCCCATTTTTTCGCGTGATTTTTTAGAATATCGACATTGTATATGTGCTTTTCTCAAATCCATCCTAATCCCAACCGTTGTGCGATTTGTCAATTTATCGTTGTGCTTGTGCACCGTTGGTATTGAGTATTAGGAGAGACAAAATCCTTTTGCATGACTTTGGGGCCGGAAATTTAACGGCCTTATTTTTTGAGTACCTTTTTGTAAATTTGTGTGAGGTGGACAACTAGAATGGAAAGATTTTTTAGTGTGATCGGTATACATCACGTGTTATTATACAAATAGTGGGATATGTGTGCTAAAAAGTTAATAACTTAAAAAATAAAATTTCCCACCACTTCTATTACAAAATACATGGTGTACCACTTGTGTTCCCGTCATAATGAAAAATTTCTTACGAGAATGGGTTAATGAGGACCGCATGATGTAAAACTTTGTAAATTGTCATTTGCCAAGCGAAACTAAGTATGCATATAAAGCCCTTTTCAAGCTTTTCAATACATCATTACATAGGTGGGTAATAATACTATTGATAACACAATAATACTTCTAAATTCTAAGAAAGGTCGGAGACATATACATATACGCATACGGATATATACATAGTATACGTACCTGATATAGAGAGAAAAGTATTCCTAATTTGAGTAGCAAGTTGTACGTAAATTGCATCGGAGAATTTAAAAGAGGAAGAAGAAAAGGCAAAGGGATAAACCAAAAGCAAGGGAAGGCATCTGAGTTGAAATTGGGGACGATGATGATTTGGCACGTTGCCCTTTGGGAGTCGGCCTATGTATTATCTTCTTGTGAATCCAAAGCTTCGGAGTACTCAAATCGTAACTGTTTGCAGCCCCTTCTGGTTCCTGCTGCTGCATCCGGACTTGCTGGCCGGCAAGAACCCTGGCAGGATTATTCAGGTGGGCAGTGGCATGGGCTGAGCTGGGAAGAGATTGAGAGGATATTAGTAGAAGGAGAACGAGGACGAGCTGCGAGAGACAGACTACAGACTTCATCTCACTTATCATGTCTTCAGGCCAAGAGTAGTTGGTGTTGTTTTTTTTTTTTTTTTTTTTTTTTTTTTGAGAACTTAGTTGGTGTTGTTTAGACTTCTAATACTTTACTCTTCCAAGTAATGAATATATATACTGCTGGGTTGTAGCATCTATAGGTCCATCCGCGGGAAGAATATTATGTCCGACTGGCATCACACGCAATCGTGTGGGAACCCTCTGGTGGAGAAGGCCAAGTATTGCCAAGATTCTTTGGTGTGTTCAAAACACGAGATACCGGATATGTAGTATTTTGTCTCGTGTTCCGAATATACTGAAAAGTCTCTTCAAGTATTGGGTTATGTTATGTATGCATGAGACGATTTATATGAAATAGAATGACTTGCATTGTTGCCAAAAACTGAGATGACAACTTAATGGGTTATGTTGTAATTAGTACATAATAAACATAGTGTTTAAAATATAAGTATAGTGGAAATATTGATATGCAAATTTGTGGAAATATCGACGAATATATGAATATTGATATCAGTTGCCTTCGATGGAAATGATGAAAATTTAAAATAAAACTTTAGGGATTGACAAACATTTGTTTGGACAAAATGCAAGAGTGTCTCCGATATTTAACAAATATGTCAAAAATATTAACGATATATGTCGATTTTAGCCTAAACGTAAGAGTTTTTTCGATAATAGGTGAAGTTTAGACTTCACCCACCATTTCCATATCTTTCTCTGATTTTTTGAATATTTTTATGAAAATATTGAGCGTATCAACAAAATTTTAAACACAAAATAAACAGGAGAATTAATAGTGGTTCACTTTAATTAGGCTACATTAATTTTATTTGGATTTGTATTTTAGTATATGAGGAGCTATTACATTTACATAGAGAGGAGCTAGGATATCTCTAAGGAGGAGGAGGAAGGCCCTTTACATAGAAAATATGAGAGAGAGCAAGTGCCCAGCCGAGGGAAGAGATCCTCTCCGGACCTCTCCCACCAAATTATAAAGATTCGGAGATCCAAATCCTTGAAATTTGATCAAACGGCTATTAACAGAGGACATTTCTAACAGTTATAATAATTGTAGTTGTTTGATCAAATTTTAAGGATCCAGATCTCCCTAAGATTTTGTGGGAGAGATCCGGGAGGATCTGTTTCCCCCAGCCGACCCCTCTTTCCTTCTAACGATGATTTAGCTCACGATTAACAAGTCTTCCTTTGTTGGTGATGTGGACATGATTGGCGAGTCTTCCTTCATTTATGTGCAAAGTATATAGCATCAGTAACTTGTCCCTTGTATGAAATGGGAACACCTTCAGTTTGACGTCTTAATTTAGCTATCATGCATGATAAGATTGAGGCACTAAGGTGACAATATATTTATTTCATATAAGTTATTCGCATAAATACCTAATTTAACTCTCTACGCTAGAATTTGTGCTTTTAAGTGAGTCATGAGTCATCGAGCAAAGACTATTAGTCCACACATTTTCATGTGAGTCATCAAAGCAGATAATAAACCGCCTAATTCTAACTTCTTTATTACTAGCCACTTAAGTACTACGATCTAGTGATATTTTTTTTTACTTGTAAGTAAGAAGTTTTAGGTTCAATTCTCGCTAAATGCGAATTTGAACCACATTATTGCTAAGCTCACCCCCTCCCCCTTTAGTATAGATAATATTGTTTGTTAAAAAAAAAACTTGTTTACTACTAATTATGGATAAATCATAAATATAAAATTAAAAGGATAATACTTGAGTACTCACTTTTTGGTTTTGTCCCATAATATTTTAACAAACGTTTTATTGTTTTAAAAAACAATGGACATGTTATTAATTTTTTTTTAACTTTTAAAAACAAGGAACAAATGTGATTTTCTGATTAACACAAATCAGAAAGAGAATACATAGAGTACTCATTAGTGAGAACCTAAGGCCATCTCCAATCAAAGGTTGGCCAGATGGCTTGATTTAGCCCTCTGGCCCTTCAAGAAATTAATATTTTAATGAACAATACAAGGCTATATTTGCTTCCATCTCCAACCGAGGGCCATATGGCTTGTTTTAACTTTTAACTCTGTCACAAAAAACCGTCTCTAAGCAAGAGCCAAAGGTTTATAGGGTTAAAAATAATTTATTATTTAAATTTAATGTTATTTAATGTTGTTTCATGTTGCTTAATTTAATTTAAGTTTGTATAATGGCTTTGGGAAGTTATAGGAAAAAAAAACAATTTTAAAAAATTTTGTAAAAAAAAATGAAAAATAACGGCTAGCTGACGTCAGCTAGCGTCAACTAGCCGTTGGATTCAAAAATTTGTTTAAGAATTCATGTCGGATATAACCGACATGATTAATAACAATGCTGTCGATTATATCCGACATCAATTCTTAAATTTCTGGCCAGCCCGAGGCTGACTGGATTGGGCCAACCCTTTGGCCATTTGGCCCTTTCAAATTCCGTGATGCCCACGAGACCTCTAGCCTAGCCCTCGGTTGGAGACGATTTTCGGGCTATTTTCGACCATCTAGACCCTTCAGTTGGAGATGGCCTAAGTATTATCCTCGAGCACCAAAGTGGAATATATTTTCTTGGATCGATACATTGGTCCTGATTTCATGATATTAATTAGGCAGTGGTCTCGGGGTTGTCCCGTCTCACTCGAAACCTTGGACCACTAATGTAATGTTAAACAATGAATTCAATTTCTGATTCGAGTCAAATAACAATGATTCGAAACACTTCTTTATGCACTACTTTAGAAATTCAAGGACTTCATCATATGGATATATAAAATACATCTAATTGCACTTCGCTTCCGAAAAGTTTGAAAAAAGCCTCAAATCCAACTCATATCAATTCACACGGATGCCCGTGCTCACATGCGGTACAAAAAATGCGGTCTCGTTATTATCGGAAAGGAACTTGACTAGGAAATATCATCATCAGCACCCACGTACTGACACCTCTCACAAAAACATGCTGACTCCCACCGATTCCACCTGGCGAGGTTTCCCTCAATTGACATAAATCTCAACCTTTTAAGAAATTTAAAAGATATCTGCTGCGAATTGACAAGTTCCAAAAGAAAAATAATTCGTAAAATAATTTGCAGAGATGAGGTTCAGTGAAACAGACTGTCAAGAACTTCACGACTGAGCTTCTGCAGGGACATAGTTTGGCCCACGAGTCTTGCCAATTCGCCTACCACTCGATCCATGTACATCACATAAAGCCCGTTTCTGCTCTCCAAAACTTCTAATGCTTTACGTGCTTGAAGAACTGATGCCACCCACTCTTCAAACAGCACTGCAAATATCAAACCGTCGTTCGATTATTTCTCAGTTCAAAATATCTGGAAGGTAAATTGGCATTTGCTGCATTGTATATGGATAGAAAAATGTAAGGATGTCGAAAGCTTGTGAAATGAGTAGCAATTACTACACGTACTGGTGTTGAAACCTTCGTCCTTTGACCATTCAGATAAGTAATCGGATACCAAAAACTCAGTAAGCTGGATCCTGTCATCCACATTACAAGAAATCATATCAAAATCTCGTTCCGTTGGAAACTGATGAAGAATGTAAAAGTAAAAAATATGCACTTCAAAGTTATGCTGGTTAACCTTAGGTAAACTGACAAGGAACCATCCACAATTCTGCAGACTCGGTGGAAGAAACATGAGGGAAGAAGGTAGGATGCTTTTTTGTCTAGGGAAACAATGAGACTCTTAACGGATTTTTGCCACTCGAAGGACGGAACTCAAATCCCATGGTAATGCCTTTCTGCTCAGTATTTGGGTTTGTGGATCCTCAAACAACGTTTTATATCCAAATTGTCAAGGAATAAAAGGATGCAGAAAACAAGCAAGTTGGGTTTCGGTCCCTAATGAATAACAGTAACTGATGAAAAAATTGGAGAGATAATCACAGTCGAGAATGTGTTTTGTGGATCTGGAATGCTTACAGTATGAACATGCATTGATGCATGTTTGTAAAAGCATCATCAAATGGATCTTTGAAGAGGAAATTTTCCGCCAGGACGGAAATTCTCTGAGAAACTGAGAATAATGCACGTTGTCCAACGTAAGGCTCGCTTCCAAGCTTTCGGATCAAATGCTGAACGAAAAACTGAGCCTCAGATTCAGAGTGTTCTGATCCTGGAAAAAAGTATAAGTAACACAATTAGCGAAATGATAGATTGACAATGAAAGAAAATTGTAATCCACAACCTAATTGGAAACAATAGCTTACCATTTCCCTGCAACGGGAAACACATTCGTCTAACCAAACGCGTGATTAAGCTGTTGATAATTCCTTCTATGAGTTCCACATTATTTACAGTGGATAACAGATTCTTCAGTGAAGCTTCAAGAAATTTGGAAACATAAATTCAGTGTGCCTGCTCTATAGATTAAAATTAATTCTAGCAAATTAAGTAGCGGTGTTTCGGATCATGATCAATCAAAATACGAAACAAGCATGCTACCTAGAATAAAGTCTACAGCTTGGTGTGACCGGTTCATAAAATTAGCATCGTCTACCTGAAATTCCAACGAATCCAAGTTAGAACAAAAGCATATGATTACAATTAACACACCAGAAAATCAGCCTATAATTAACCGTTTCTTTGTTTTTCGAAGGGGAAAAGGCAAATGATAAAGTGAGCTACGGATCTAACAGGAGAATCGCTTTCACAAAGCTCCACAAGAAAATCGATCGAAGCTCTAAGCTGCTCCATTTCATCTTCACTGTTTGTGTCTGCACTAGCAAGTACTAAATGTATATAACTTTCCACAAAACCCCCAAATCACAAAGCTCTCAAATATCTTATGATAAAATAACAGAATTTAAAGCCGGAAAATGGTAGGAATCGATACAATAGGACTGAATTGCCATAAAATTAAATTAAATCAAAGCTCAATGCACCTGAGAAATGGCGGCGCTGGGACGATCCGCTTGTCCTTCTTCTTCTCCTTTCCTTGAAACGCACTGCAAGAAAAATGATTTGTTAGAAAAGAAGTGTATACACAAAGTTGATGAGAATACGAGAAAGAGGATGATGATGAAGGTGATGATGAGAACCGTGTCGAAGAAATCTGCGTCGCAAGACGTCATTGAATCTGCATTGAGAGGGATCTGGAAGCCGCTTGCTAGGGCTTAATTTCCCCAAATTATCGAAGAAATAACACTTGCAGGAAGCGCTCTCCGGGAACAAGTCGCACTGCGAAGCGTCTGAAACCGAAAAGTAAAATTAAGGATTGAGCAGCTTATAGATGGAGAGAGAGAGGAAGAGAGAGGACCTTCAGCTTCGTTGAGATCCTGCCGGAGTCTCAAAAGCTCGAGCTTTCGCTCCTTGGCCTGATGCACAACTCAATTGATTAGGCTTCTTCTTGGATTTCAGAATTTAATGAAATTGTGATCGGAATTCAAGTGCATTCAATTCAAAGATGCGAGAGAGACCTTTCGCTTCCATCGGAGAGCGTCGGATTGATCGACAGAGGGTGGAGGAGGAGGAAGGGGCTGATTTTGGAGAAGTTTTGATCGGAGAAGAGAGATGGCGACGGCTACCCTCAGCGACTGTTCGTCCGCCACTGACTGCGCTACTTGCTGTTGTTCGCTGCCTGACATTTCTCTGTCACTCCGCCCAATCTCGCGGGAAATTATTTCTCTGCTTTTAACTTTTGGTTTTATTTATGCAATCTTTTTATACAAAAGTCCGTTGAGAGTTTTATGTGCCAATTAATCGGTAATCCTCCGTAAAAGGAAAATTAAAATATTAATAATAAGTTTTAATTCAATATTTTTGTTAGAAAGTGAGGGAGATAGCTCAAAAATTAGTAAAAAGAAACTACTCATTTAGTATATTTAGAAATACCAAAGCTAGTCACTAAATATTACGGTATGGTGATATTCATCTTCATTAAGAAGTAAGAGGTTTTAGATTCAAATCTCATGGATAACAAATTCAATATAAAATTAGGCTGCTAATTGTGTGGCTTAGCCGAACTTCCTCTTCCCCTCCCCTTAGTGTAAAAAAATATCAATGAACTCAAAAGCTAAAAGAGTTATCGACGAAGTAGTAAAAAACATGAGATAAAATGAAGCTAACAGTGTTATTGACGATAGCAAGCAACGTGAGAAGGCAAAAGCTCAATTTTAGGGAGCAAATATGAGTATAACGTGAGAGTCTAATACAAAGTTAAATTTACAATTTTAGAGTAATTTCGAGCTCATTTAGAAGTGTGTTTAAAATAGCTAAAAACGCTTTTGGTGAAATATTTTGAAAATTCTTAAAAAATTGCTTCTTGCTGCAAAAACCACTTTAAATGAATTTGAAAGTCAAAAACATTTTCTCTAAAGAACTTTCAGTCATGTCGAAAGCACTTCCAAATGAGCTTCCACTTTCAAATTTTTATTTCATGGATCCCCACTTTCCCCATTAATCAATGAATTTGAAACTCAAAAACATTTTCTTTAAAGAACTTTCAATTATGTCGAAAGCACTTCCAAATAAGCTCCCGCTTTCAAATTTTTATTTCATAGATCCCCACTTTCCCCATTAATCATCATTTTTTGTCACACATTTTCAGCTTAAAAACTGAAAACAGAAATAGTTATAAAACAAACCCTAGTTTGATCGGTTTATCAGCCGTAGGTGAATACTCGCATTCGGATTAAGACCGGGAGGAGAGGATGAAGAAGATAGATCGGCCACGAAGATACAAAATGCGCCACTCTCTGACGGCACTCACTCCGGTCCTATTAGGCTCCTCTATGTAAGGATCCTGAAGATCCGTAAATCGTATTTGTTCATCGTACAGTCAAAAATTCATTTTAAATATTTTTATTTAAAAATAAACATAAACAGTACTTGATAACAACGAACACAATTTACGGATATCCCGAATCCTCATAAAAAAAAAAAATCCGGAGAGGATCCTGTTGGCTATTAGGCTTCGAGAATCTCGGCAAAGCAGCACAAAAACGTAAATTCGATATCGTGAAAAGTGAAACACGAAAATTTGGACTCAAATTCAAGGAATAAGATCAAAACCACATCGATTTCCTTTCACAGTGGGAATATAAAGACAAGGCATTTTATGAGCTAGCCAAGTTCAAACATTGAACTGAAATTAATCAGTCCGGAAGATTAAAAAAAATGACGATAACAAAACTAATCGAGTACAAAAAACAACGGGATCCTTCGAGAAAAATCAGCAAACGATTTAAGCCATCCTCGTCTCGAGAGCAAAATCCATCGCATCATGATTTCGACTTCTTTCCTCCTTAAACACACACTAACTCTATGACCTCGGAAAATATACAGCTCAAGTAAGAAAATACCTGTCTTGTCCTTTGGCATCTCCACCTTATCACATCATCTATTGTGTAATACAAATCACTCACCCGAAAAGGAGGGCGAGGGTAGTCCCACGTGGTTACAGAAACTCGAGTGTGCTCGTGCGTGCAAATATGTCCGAGGATGCTTCCTAGAATAGGCCACGGCACGCGTCAATATCAGATGCTTGTGATTCCAGCAGGCCTTGCCCTGACGGACTAGAGCTAACGACCTTCACTGCACCATCCAATATAGCTTTCTGGAAGTAGTCGTCGTCCACCCCCTTCAGGACATCTTTCACCACCTTGAAATCCAAACCTCCAACCAAGACTAATTTCCCTATAATTTCACCAAAGTTAGTAGGCGCTTTTGGCAGGTCTATGCCAACATCGTTCAGGATAGATGCATAGAGTAAACACCCCCTCCTTATGTCACTAGTCGTAAGCACCTTCTTAGAAAACAGATGCTCAAGAAGCTTCACAAGTGGTTCAACACATGGTCGACTCTTCTCTAGTGCAAGGGTGATACCTTCCTTGACAACCTCGGGATGGTAAGCAGGAGACTGTAGCTCCTCCACGCACAGTAGCGCTTCGTCTAAGAGTCCGATACTGAAATATTCCTCAAAAAGGGAGATTGTTTTTCTCCTAAGCTCATCTAGTTTCAACTTTGGAACCGCAGCTGGAGCTGGAGCTTGTGGCTTTTCAACAACTGGTGCCACGTAAGGAGCAACAACAGGTCTAGCAGGCACTGGCGCTTGAGCTACAGGCTCTGCACCATAAGCATGGTTGGATGGACGGGCAGGAGGGGAACCACTACCCTGCAGTAAGGCACTAGGTCTGCCACTGCCAAGGCCACCACTACCCTGAGGTAACAGCCTTGTGTTCACTGATGTTGATTTTCCAACCAGCGGCACCTGGCCACGCCCACCACCAGGCTGCATACCAAACCCATCACCCCTTGGCGTTGACCGGTTCCTCTGAACCTCCCAATTGTCATTATCCATTCCAGGCATCCCAGGCATTTTCCTTGTTCCGGGCATTCCAGGCATCATACCCCCTAAACCAGGTCGGTTGTTGGGATATCCCCCGGGGCTGGTACTCCCTTGAGCACCAGAAATGTTGTTACGACCACTTCGGATGCTTGCAGTAGTCCCTGGACGCAATCCAAGATTTTTTTCTGCCTCTGTATGTATTTCAGTGATGGTTTTGGCTTTTATCTGTGATCAAATTTCAAAATAAGATGACTATTAGTTCAAAAAACATTAGCAATTTAATATACAAGTCAAGCACATATGACAATAGCCTACCTCTTCACGTCTAGGAACCCAGTTGTTGGAACGCAAATCAATTACATCACGAACCATGAACCTCAACCTTGGAGCCAATTGAGGGTTTGTTGTCAGTTCCTTCATTCGGCTGAAGTACATATCATTTATACTGCGTGATTTTGGCTTCTCATCAAGCTGCTTTCCAATTGTGGTAAAAAAATGACATAGTGCCTCCACGTTTTCCTCAGCAGGACAAATTTTGTTATCGGATCCTAAGAGTTCCTGTTTCACATACAAATAACCATGAACAACATATTGAAGAGTAATTGCTGAACATGTAAGGGCAAAGGAGGAGGAAATCCAAGACGGACCGCAACAATGTGATGTACAATCTTTTCAGGTACCATCTTCTGCTTCAGAAGCTCTCCAATTAAACGAATGTTTCCCAGAGTACGAATCTTGGCCAATCTTTCTTTATCCCTACGTTCCATCTCTTGTTCAGGGGCAGTCAACTGTCTAACTTCTTCTCTCAATTTGTCAGTGCCATCAAAAGCCTCCTGGCAGTTATTCAAGAGGATGCGCTTGAAAGTGATTTCTTTACCATCTGGTTCATCTGAGGGGAACCGAGGAAGCTTTTCATTAAGATCAGAACACAGAAGAGCATACATGGGGCAAAATGTAGGTTCTAGCACGGCCTTATCAAATATCAGTGAAATAACCCCCTGGAATGCAAGGAAAATTGTGAGTACGGTTGCCAGAAGTAATAAAACAAAATTGAAAAGCACATTATAATAAGGTATATAAAAAAATAAAACCTTTAAGATATCAGCCGATGTAATGCCAGAGTCTATAAGTTGCCCCTTGAGGAGATCAAACTTCTCCGGAGTCAGCTTGTTCAGAATCCTGCATAGAAACATAAAGTGAATGCCATTAAGCACAATGTTCACACAGACATCTATCTGGTAGACCAAAAAATTACCAAACAATGACAGCTTGGGACAGAAAGGTAATCCCATGATTATATGTGGGAAATAGAGAGCAAATAATCAAGAAGTAATACAATATGCTGATGTTTCATGATATATTACCCCTTCACAGTCTTCAACACGCGGTCCTTATCAGATAGAGTACCCCTTCTAGCTGACCATGGCACCTCAGCTTTGATTAAAGTAGGAGCGGCCCCTCCCTGAAATTATGAGAAACCAATTGTATCAGAAATAAATCCAAGCCGATGTTGTCCTCATATACAAGCACAGAAGTTAAAAAGCACAATAGAATATGCAAGAACCAAACAAAATTTGGAAAGGGTGCACATTCAACCTACTCCCGCTAGATATAACTGCATGAGAATAGACTATAGTCTATTCCCCTGAGGCAAAACTCAACACAAAAGATAATCGGGAAACAAATACAAACCAAAAATACAGAATGGAAAAACTATAGAGATAAAATTAAACTGTTCTTAAAATATATATTACCCCTTGGTTCAGTGTCCTCGCAAATTGAGCCTGATTTGCATCTTGCTGTCTGTAATCAAACCGATTACCAGACTCTTTATTCTCCCGAAGAGTATCCCAAGACCGTTCCTCTCCAGAGGCAGGAACTGGTGCAGAACGGCCACGCCAATCCCGGCTGTCAGGCTCCGAATAACGATTTTGAGCTGGAGATGGAGTTGGAGATTGAGCTGGCAGCTGAATAGGTAAATAAAAAAATTAGGAGTCTTTTATAAATCACGCAGCTAATATCATAAATATGGAGATCAATAACTTCAAGGCTACATAACTAATCACACCAATAAAAAGAATATGAGCATTATGAAGTTTAATGACCAAAGATACTTGAAATTGATGATATCGAATAAACAGCGCCATCAACTTCAATACTTCAATCATTGGAATAGAAGTAATATTAGTTGGACAAAAACTCACATTGGTTTCTGCACGACCCCAGCTCTGATCTTCACCACTGAAAAATTCAGCTTCAACTTCTTGTTTCACTTTTAGAATTTCATCAGGGAGCACAACAGCCTACAAAGAAGCGGTACAATATTCCAGAGATCAGTAAAGTTTTTATGAGAATGCATCATCATTTTATTTC